AAGCACTACTTAAGCCTTACTGTGAAAAACTGCTTTGCAACCTGCGGGCAGCAAGCATAGCCTGCACATCGCACCCTCTTACTAGTGCTGACCTGTGGGCACTCAGGTGCCTGTGGCTTTTATGGGGAGGAGGCAGCTCCTGAGATGTAGCTTTGAAAATGTCAGTGGCCCCTAAATAGTGGGTGCAGGCATCTACCTGCCTCTTCGGGGACCTACATGTCTGCCCCACCCCACCCCACCCCACCCCAATCCCTGTGTTGGAAGTAGCAACAGATGTACAACTCGGTGATGTGAATCTGAGCAGGACAAAGCCTCATGCTCTGCCAGCTGCAGTTACACACAGATGATATTTCCTTCTGTAAGATCCTTATACAGCACCAGGTGGTCACAACATGGACAGCCCTCCCTCGAACCACATTTCTAATATTGTTGATTAGAGCAGTCAGCTTAAAAGCAACTAATGCAGCTGCCCCATGGAGCTTTAATCTCTACCTAAGCCACGTGTCTAAACTTAGCCCTGCTCCAAAACAGGGGTGGGAGAGATGAGTCCCATCAAGTTATCCCTTTTGGAAGTGAGATCCCGTGACTGATGCAGGCAAGAAATAGATCCTCAGGGGCTGGAACTGTTTATTAAACCAATTCAGGTTGCGCCCCTGAATTTAGCAGCCTCAAGCTTTGCTGGCATCAAGGCATCTCTCTTGCATGGCATTCACACCTAACTTCCAATCCAGTTTCGCAGAGGACAGTCATTGTCCAAGCATTTGGGCCACTAACATAAGAAGATGAGCTGTTTTCAATGACATGGTCGTCATCTGCTTGCTATTTGCATCTATGCGTCTGCAGAGTCTTGTGCCCTCTTTCCATTGCCTTTCATCCCAGCTGCCTGCAGGGAGATTTATGACAGCAGCATGCTTTCACTTTGCTTTTTGGTCGCATCATCTCAGACTTTCAGTGACCTCGGGAGCTGAGAGTCAAGTGCAGTTGATGAAAGGGCATGTTCTTGGCGGAGAATCCAAGCTGGGGAGTCAGGCCATGTGCGTCTATGAGGCTCAGCTCTCCGTAACTGGAGCCATGCCAAGGAGAACAGTTGTCTCTAACAATGAGCCTTTTTCTGGATACTTCCTAAGAGATGCTAGGGCCTTACAATTCTGTCATTGGAGAGATGATGAACATTGTGCAGGAAGCAAGCTGGGGTCAAGAAGCAGTTTTTTTCAACACTGCTCATTCTTAAACATCTGCAGAATGTTCTGGGTTTTCACCTGAAACCCAAACTTTTTTATTCTTCAGTATTTGGCAAAATAATACCTGAACATATTTTGTTTGTGTAAAGAGAACTCAAAACTTGTAGACAGAAATGGATTCTTTTTCACACAAACCAGAGGTTTTCTGCAAAGTTATTTCTCATTGGGGGAAAAAAGTTGGGGTAACAAGATGTGGGGTGTGGTGGGCATGCTGGAGGGGAGGGACAAAATCCACCTAGATCTTGACAAATTACAGAGGTGGGCAGATGAGAATAGGATGGAGTTCAACGCAGGCAAGTGCAAGGTGCTGCATCTAGGGAGAAGGAACCTGCAACACACATGTAGGCTGGGAAACTCCCTTCTTGTCAACATGGTGGCAAAAAGGGATCTTGGAGTCATTGCTGACTCCAGGATGGACATGAGCCGCCAATGCGAGGAAGTGGTCAGGAAGGCCAGCCACACCTTGTTGTGCATCTACAGATGCATCTCGAGCAGGTCCAAGGAGGTGATCCTTCCCCTCTATGCGACACTGGTCAGGCCACAGCTGGAGTACTGCGTCCAGATCTGGGCACCCCATTTCAGGACGGATGTGGACAACATGGAGAGGGTCCAGAGGAGGCCACTCACATGATCAGGGGACAGCAGGGCAGGCCCTACAAGGAGAGGTAATGGGACCTGAACCTGTTCAGCCTCCACAAGAGAAGGCTGAGGGGGGATCTAGTGGCCTGTTACAAACTCACCAGGAGGGACCAGTGGGAATTGGGGGGGCTCTGTTCCCCCAAGCACTACCCAGAGTTACTAGGAATAACGACCATAAATTGTTAGAGACGGTTCAGGCTGGACATCAGGAGACATTACTTTACAGTGGGGGCTGCCAGGCTCTGGACTGGGCTCCTGAGGGAGGCGGTGCTCTCTCCTACTTTGGGGGTCTTCAAAAGGAGGCTGGACAGATAATTGGCTGGGGTGATATGACCGCGGCACCCATTCCTG